TCTAGTTATGATTCTGTTTTCGAGCTACACTTTTTAGCAGATGATATTTTAAAATTTGATGAGACTATTTTAACTAATGGTACTCTTAACAAAATAAAAAAGGAAAGACCGAGATTAAATATCGAAGCAATACCATGTATATTCCCGAATCTCCCTTCGTACTTGTCCAGTATTAGGAAAAGACGAAAACCACCATTGAACCGAACTGAATTTGTTGCTTAAGAAACTATTCACCAGGATGATGAAATTGTAGTTGTCGAATACAAAATTAACACAAAACTGTACTTACCAAATTTCACCATTTAACAAACCCTTTCAAATTTGGTCATACCTAATTTTCATTTTATTTAGATAAAATTAAATAATGAATAGTAAATAATGTTTAACATAAAGACTCATTTATAATATTAATACAAACAGTATTTTCTGTACTTTAGTTAGCAATTAAAACAAAGACTTATTTACAAAAACTAAAATCAACACTATTTTCTGTGCTTTAGTTAGCAATAAACAATTTGATTTTTATTATTTTCATAAAATTTTCTAAAATCCCTAACTAAATATGTTCACTTAAACCGTGTCTTAGTATGCCCTTAGCCCTATTTAGCTTTAATTAAAAAATAATTAACCCTACCCATTAAATTTCAACACTTCTCATCAAAAATTTGCATTTTACTTAAATAGGAATAAATAGTAAATAATGTATCAATTAAAATATGTAAGACTTATTTAGAAATAAATACAACAGTATGTTCTGTGCTTTATTTAGTTATAAACAAGTTTATTTTTATTATTTTGACAAAATTATATATAATTCCCATAAGAAGCCATGTATTTTGAACTACGTAAACTGTACCAGCGCCCATGCGGTTAATTATAGAAACTCAATTTACGTGTTATTTTTGGGACCGTTTTTTGAGCATGCCGATTCGCCTCCTTATCTCTAGTCTTCATACCTCTGGTGTACCAAGCAGAGGTAAGAATCTATATCAAGCCCAACATCCATGGACTCAGGACCGACGGCTTTACATCTCTTGCGAAAGACAACATACTTCACTATACGAATATACCTCGTATTCATTAATATAACACAAGTTGCTGTGGTATGCAACTACGCGAGCAGTTTGTTCGAACGTACGCCGACTTTCATTGAGATAGTCACCCATCCAAATACTAACTGAACTTAGCCTGGCTTGACGGCAGATATAGATACACAATCAGTGAACCTGCTAAGCCGGGACACTCCCCAAAATTATATTTGTATAGACTAGGTACTTGTTCAGAGACGAAATCGATGTTTTTCTGCAAAACCGAATAAATCCACTGGTATAGTAGTGTTAACAATGTACCGGCATTCGCTGCAGTTTAAAATCAGTTTGTTAGAGATATATCTTTATTTTGAGTTATTTTTGCTGCGTAAATTGAGCACCAACTTGTCCTGTTTGCTTTTCATATCTATCTTCAAACACAAAAACTTTAAAAATCTTGATAAAATAAAATACCGAACAAACAACTACCTCTATGGCGTGGCTTAATAACAAAGGAGTGCAGTAAAATGGGGATATAACGTCACATTCCATAGGCCTACTTTAAAAAATAAGTTTCTATAATATAAATAAGGTCACGGCATATAAATGATACATACGCACTTCGTAGATTAAATTTTGAATTAAAAAAGATTATTTACAAAAAATAAAAATAAACCTTATGATTCTGACAAAATTGTTGCAATTTAACGTTGCACGAATTAAATTTAACCAATAAATAACAAGGAGGATGGCATTAAACGAAACACTTCAGTACCTAAAATCTAGATTAAAAAAATAAAAAGTTCAAGAATCATTTTTAAAGTCACTGTCTTCACTATAACTACTGGTATCATTATCATTATCTTTTCTAAGGTTTATTATTATAGGGTCCATTAAGTTTTCCATTGCTATATCCAATTTCCAAAATGAATTTTCTACCTTTTTAACATGATCAATGCATGTTCTCCAATGCTCCCTATTTACATCTCAAAATGCCTTCAAAAACAAATTTCGCACATCAGGTAATTTAAATGTTGTATTGTTTCGATAAATATAACCTTTTAATTGTGATCAGATTAGTTCAATGGGATTTAACTTCAGGTAAGGAGGTAATCTGAGAATTTTAATTCCTTTTTCTCAAGCCATCTCGTCTGTAATATATTTTATGAATTTGTTTTTTGTTGCCTTGCTATTACGAATAATTCTGCCTTCAAGGATTTAGGAGGACCAATAATATTTTTAGAATGAAGCCAATTTGAAATACCTTGTTTTTTTTATCTTGTTTTAGGTAATGACTCTTTTAATCGACTGTGATAGAATGCATTATCCAAAACAATAACGGAGTTGGCTGGAATTTTTTTTATAATGTTCTGAAAGCAATTTTTAAACATAGGTCCATCCATTTATTCATGGTAGTCTTTTGTTTTGTCTACTAGGTTATTTATACGTACTTGTGCTGGCAATATGTTCTAATGCACTCGCCATTCTAATTCCGACTCAATTAAAATACATACGATACGGCTATGAATAAATAAAGTCTGACTTATCTGTCAAAAGAAAATATTTATTACCATTAAGGTAGGATTTTAACTTCATGTTTATTATGGCATAATAATAAATAAAGTTAAAATTCTAAATTTACTAAGGGACCAGGACCAGATAATATACCATTCGCGATTGTCCTATGCGTTAGCAATATCTTTATATAAAATATTTAATTTATGCATGCGATGTCAAAATTTTTTATCAGTACAAAGTAATATTAATAAAATAAATAATTGGTGTTTAATAAATAATCTTCCATTAAATTCAAAAAAATATAATATAGTGTCATATACCGAAAAAGATTTTCCAGTTCTTTATTACTACTGTTTGGATGATGTTATATTAAATAAGCCTTGTTATAGATCTTGGAATAAAAAACTTACTTTGAATGAACATCTAAATGACGTGGTAAAAGCATCGTTCAGAAATTTGAGATTTATCATTAGGCATGCAGTTGACCTCAATTCTATCGAAACCATGAATATATTGTACAATGCGTTCGTCAAATCAAAATTAGAATAAGCTTTATTAATATGGAAACCATTTATGATATTCACATAAGCGCTCTTGAAAACTTTGAAAGACGATATCTAAAATTCTTGGCAATTAAAATAGACGGAACATATCCATTAACTGGGATAAATCGCAAATTGCTTTTAGATTCCAAATGCAAAGCTTAGAATGTAGACGAAAAAATCAGTCGTTAATATTCCTATATAAACTTAACTACCAAATTTATTAAAAAACTCGCCGTTGTATTTTATGTGTGAAAACTGCAACAACCTGAAAGGTAGAATTGATTTATTTTCTTGTAAGCTTTCGAAGCTCAAAAAATTGTAAAGCTGTTTCGGTACTATTTGCCTGTGTATAGTCATTAAGTTATTTAATTTTTGTCATATTCTGTAATTTTTGTTATATTGTGTAATTTATGTTATATCCAAAAATAGCAAGGGTCGCATAGTGAGTTTTGCCGATGATACGGCTGTAATATATCAAGACAAAAATTGGCAAGATCTAAAAAGTCTAGTAGAAATAGACTTCGCAAACATAATCAAATGGTTTGATCAAAAAGAACTTACAATCAATACAGACAAAACTCACTTCATGGCATTTGCTTCATATTCCAGTTATTTGCCCCAATATACTACTTTGTCAATAGATTTGGATGGAGAAAGGGTGGACATTAGATCTGTTTCGAAGATAAAATACTTAGGATGAATACTAGATTCACACCTAAAATGGGATATACACATCGAATATTTACTAAAAAAACTAAGAACCGTCAATTATAAATTAAAATATTTAACTAGGTATTACGATACAGAGCAACTGAAAATAATATATTACTCACTATTTCAAAGCCATTTATCTTATGGAATTGTTGCCTGGGGAGGTACATATAAGGTACACATACACAAATTAGAGGTTATGCAAAAGTATATACTCAAAATAATATTCAAAAAACCAAGATTATATACTAGTAGTACACTTTTTAGTGAAACCAAAATTCAAGATATTCGACAATTATATTTTGTAAATCTCGTTATACATCAACACAAAAATCGAAAGGAATTAACCAAAATTCATCACCAATACCCTACCAGGTATAGGTCAAATGATGTTTTCTCCGTCATCAGGGCAAAAAAAGATTTATTACAAAGATCATATCTATATTTAGGGCCAAAATGTTATAATCTAGTCCCCTCAGAAATAAAAAATCTTAATCACTTTAACTTATTCAAAAAACTTGTCAAAAAGTGGTGTAATACATTAAGTTGCTCAGATATCCACGTCTTAATTGAGGGTAAATAAATAAATAAATTAAAAAAAAATAATTGAAAATAAAAAGAAACAAAAAAACAAGAAAAGAAAATCAAAAAAAAAATAATTTTTTTTGTTCCTCTTATAATCATGTATTACGTGTCCCAAAAAGTTATAATAATTAATTATTATAGTTATTATTATTATTACTATTGTTGTATTGTTATTGGTATTAGTATTATTATTAATATTATATTTAATTATTATTATTAATATTATTATTGTTATTGTTGTTATTATTATTATTAGATGGTTATTAGTATTAATCTATAGTGAGTCCTGCAATATGTTAATTCGATGAAAGTATTATAAAAACACTTGTCAGAGACACTAATTATAGTTAATCCCACGCACAGACTTGCTCTTCTGTGGGACTATCATATTTATTTTTCCTAATATGGCTTATATTTTACATTGTTATATTTAACATTGTTAACCTTACATAATATGTAATTATTTGGTAAATAAATATTATTATTATTATTAAATGTCTTATTGTGCAATATGTTATATTTACTTTTGTAATAACAAACTTTTTCTTCCTACTCTATAACTAGGCATTTAGCTACATCTAACGGTAAGTACCTATACTAATGAGCTATTGCCAACTTTAAAACTCCCGCCATATCATTAGCCGATATTTATATTACGTCCGCTAGGCAATCTAGTATTGGAAAATAATATAGGTGTTACGCCCAATATTTTAATATTTTAATTGGTAGGAGGGTTCATGATTGGAACTTAAATTATCTAATTATTTTTGTGGTTTAATCTTAGAGCAAGGGTTTAATTTCAACACGACATCCTTCAAAGTTGACATTTTTAATAATCATTAGAAAATTCAAAATCATATTACATAATGTTCCCATCCATCACCTCCCAATTAATATAAGATAGAATGATGTAACAATAAAGAAGTAAAAAAATTCAAAATCATCAAAATTATTGTAAAATACTTCAGTCATGTCCAAATGTAGAGGAAAATGCACGGCAGGGGTTCCTTCGCGGTCAATGTTACCAAGACAAAGACCCAGAACTGCAGGAAGTGGTATACCTCAATATTCCCAAACAAGAATCGCTAGACCAGCTTTGATGCCCCCTCCGCAAGCATCTCGGCCACGTTCTGCACTACCTGTAGCCAGACGTCCTCCACAAGGAGCACCTCGAGGTTTACCCGTACAAAGACGCCCAGCATCGAATATACCCGTTCCATTTTCTAGAGGGGCAGGTGCCTCTTCTAGAATTCCCTGTCCTCGTAGAATAGGAATTGCACAACCTTCTGTTACCATAAATGCTGCGAGATCTAGAGGAAACGATATAAATATAAATATTCGTTTATCGATTGAACCCCCAGATGAAGAGTTAGAGGAGTTTGAGAGATTAGAAAGAGAAATGGAAGAATTGGAGGAATTCGAGAGAATGGAAAGACAATGTGAATTAGAATGTTCTAATTCAGGTAGTATTTACTTTCCATTTATTTCACACCTCTTTACACACCTCGTTAAATTTATCGTAACATTTATTCTAGATTTAACACCCTATAGGTATTTGATTTTATATTTAAAATATATTTTGAAAGTTTGTAACGATATAAAGATATTTTGGTCGATGGATTGGTTATTAAAATAAGCTCTTTTCATGGGTGTTATTTTGACTAAAAGGGGTCGTTTCTACTTTTGGCCGCTTATCTTCTAATTTGCTTTCAAATATTTTCTTGGTTGGTCTTTCTTCGTCTAATCTAAATATAGAAACATTACTGAACAATTTAAATACGGTTTTTTTATATATTTACCTTTGTCGGTTTTAAGAAGGTAGGGTTATATTTAACGGAGAACACTACAGCCTCTTGGGTCTAATTTATTTCCCTCCTTTCTCCATATTTAGGTCCTATCTCTGAGTAGTCGTATGACTTTGATTAGTTTTACTAAGTTTTCTACCTGAGGCACTATTTCCAATTCTAGATCGAAAAGAGTGGGTCGCTGCTTCGTATTTGATTATTACTGGTATTTAGCCTCATTGATGCAAAGTGGTAGGATCATTGAGTAATCATAGTTTTTTATTTATTGATTTCCACAGACCTGAACACATAGATATAGAAAACGTCACATAAAATTTACAAACAAGACAAAAATGTAGGGCTAAAAACAAACTTAAATATAATTCATTACACACAATACATTTAAAACATTTAAGTAAAAATATAACATTAAAGTAAAATTACAGTTACTCGGGTTTTAAAAGCTTGTAACGGTTGTAACCGTTATTTCGTTATTTCGACACAATCACCTCTTACTCAAATGTCATTTGTCGTTTATGCCTTGTGTCAAAAGTTTCCATATTTCATTTCATTTGATAGATCAAATAGATCACATTTATTTTAATTTATCTTGGTCATCCGATGTATTGGATGATTTTTGTTTATCTTAAAAGCTGTCAAATAGACCACTAATCCAAACGATTAGCAGAATTAAAACTAATAATGCTTTATACCCTCAATACATGAAGCGAATAGGTATAATAGATAATGACTTGTGTATTTGTGATGAGATTGCTGATTTACAACATATATTTTTGGATTGTATTCTAAACGATTTAGAAATTAATTTATTATACCAAAACTTAATTAACAACAAAATTCAGTTACCTATAAATTTAAAAAATCTACTGACATTTGACAGTATATATAACATACTCTAATTTCGTCAAAACACTCAAATTAAAATTGTAATTAGGAAATACAAATAAAACATGTAAGTAGCGATGCTACCAATAAAAAAATTTGTACACCTGACTCGAAAAAATTGTTAAGAAAAGAAAAAAAAATAAAGACAGAAAAAAGAAAAATAGAAAAAATAGAAAAAAAAAACAAAAAAAAACAAAAAAATAAAAAAAAACAAATAAAAAAAAACAAATAAAAAAAACAAAAATAAACAAAACATTTAAACCATATTAAGTTCAGGTTATTTTAGTTATTAAGGTAGAACAACTTTAATATAATTTGTAAAATAATAAAGTTTGTTATCTGATATTTTTATTTGTTCACCTGACAATTGACTGGCCTGTTGATTTATATCCAGTGCCACTAACTTAGTTAAAAAAAAAACCGTCTGATTTTATAAGCTCATGGCTAAATCTAGATGGTTTTGGATATATATCTCAGTTCACCTAGGACTGTTCTAGGCTACGTTTGTATCAGAATCTACGCTACTCAGTGGTTTGTTGTTGTAAAGTGACATCTGTCAAAATTTTTCTTTCGTTTACAAAAGTTTTCATCTACGCCAGTTAAGTATAATCCCGGAGTTAGGGAAAACGGTCCATGACCGAGCCCACTGGGGCGCTTCAAGCAGCCGTGAAAGGCTTTGAAACGACATATACTAAAAGACTTAAAACAAGGTTCAATGCCGACACGCTAAAGAAGCTGCAATCCGTCGCAAACTTTAAGTCTCCCAAGTCTGGAAGAAGTAATAAGCTCAAGAATCTGCTGGACAATATAAATGTGAGTATTGACAAGCCTACACTAACATCAATTAACCCAGGGGTCAGCTTTCCAGTACAGGAGGCCCCCCAGGCCGGTTTTCTAGAAATTCGACCTTCACCTGACCGCCAAGGTGTTGGTCAAGTGGCGGCAGAGTCCATTATAGTCCCCGAAGAGGGAAAAAACACTTCAAGGAAACCGTCGGTGGCAGGCTCGGAGGACTCACTTGAGTTTCACGACAGCCAGGACGGCGAAACCGACGATCCGAAATCTCTACCCAACCCATCTGAGGTATTCGAGGAAACACGCCAAAAACTGATAGACGTACTAGAGAATTCAGATGAGTCCATTAGCTCAATAGATAGCAACATGGACGTCACGGTAATAGGCACCGACAAAAAAGAGCCGGGAGAAAAAACCCCAGAACATGAAAAATTTACATCTGCCTATGTTATGGAACAGCCAGCAGCCAATAATGCACTGAAAACCCTGCAACTCCCATCCAACGTCATTAGTAACCTATTGGACTTTCGTACTAATGACCTTAGTAATGTAAACAATGCCAATAATACATCCAACTTAACTCTAAATGCTGGAGGTGAGGGTAACACTCATAACGAGGGCGAACTGAGTAACTTTCGTTATGGGAATGTGCCCACACCACCACCATCAAACCTTGTTGGTACTCACGTCAGTATGGACAGTATTACATTAAAAAATACTGGTACCATAAATAAGAGGAGCAATAACGACCCAAGACGTAAAAAATATGAACTTCCACCATATAATGATGTCCCAAAAAGGGTGGTAGACAACATACGTCACTATGAGTCTACTAGTCAGACATCAGATGAAGAACAACGGAAAATAGACACCGACCAATATAGGCATCTACCACACTCCCCAAATAGCCGATTTGAACTTAAGCAAAAAGAGGATAGAGACAACTACGAGAGAGAGATTAAAGAATTGAAAGAATTAGAAGCCAAAAAAATGGAAACGGACCAACCTTTTGAGATTCCCAGGAAATTTTCGTCAAATTTCCAAAGACTAATCAGGGAAAAGACTATCAAAACCATAACACCTACAAACAATAGATATAATGTGCTCACTGACGAGTCAGAGGCCGATGCTGAGGAAGACTACGAGGACGACATAGGGAAAATCGTCAAGAAACGTAAGAAAAACCCAAAATTCCGGCCATTTAATCCTGAAGACACACAGGGAGCTAATAGTATTGTTAATACACCCCACACAGCTGCTAACAAAGGCACAGACGAAAGGCAAAAATCAACAACATCAAATAACACCAATAATGACAAACAAAATAAAAACAAAAAATCAATGCCTCCTATAGTCATTGAAGGAAAGACGTCCAACCAAAAACAGCTTGTCACTGACATCAAGGCCCACGTGAAGGGCGATTTTAGTATTAAACATACTAATTACAACACAATTATCTTCATCGACGCAAAAGAGGACTATCATAGGCTAATATCTAACATAAAAACAGAGAAAATGTCGTATCATACATATACGGCCAATGAGGATAAATCCCATGCGTTTGTGCTCCGAGGTTTGGCAACAGGTACTAAAATCACAGACATAGAAGAAGGATTAGAAGATGACCACGAGATAAAAACAAGAGAAGTGTACCAGATGAACACGAAAGACAGGCCCCTGTTCCTGGTTGTGACGGATCCCGCGATAACCCTGGAATATCTGAACAAAAATGTACGAAGACTCCTCCATACCAGGGTTACGTGGGAGCTCAGAAAATCCGCAAAAGCAATAATACAATGTCACAATTGCCAGCAATGGGGGCATGCCACTGCAAATTGCGGCAGACCGTCACAATGTCTCAAATGCGCGGGTGATCACCACACGCGAACATGCTCCAAGACTCGTGACACTCCGGCTACGTGTGTCAATTGTGGGGGTGATCACCCCGCAAACTATTCAAAATGTAGTACGTACCTTGCCAAACTCGAAAAACTTGAAGAGCGACGACCCAGGCAGCAAGTAAAATTTGTCCCCGCCCCAAAACCTCAAATAAACCAATGGGAAGCCAGGCAGCAAAATCGTACTATGAACAATGAATTTCCGGCCCTGCCCACTAAGACTACTAACGAAGCAAACCAAGACAAGAAAACAACCAATGAGAGGCCAAGAATGAATGCCACTAGCGGACTAACGACCGAATTTTCAGAACTTAACAACGAGTTTGCTATACTCAACAGGTTAGTCAATATTAGTGAGCTTACTAGAGCGGTCAGAGAACTGAACGCTAAACTCAGAAATTGTAACACCGGACAACAAATAATAGAAACATATAATGCGTTCATGACGAACGTCGACGTTAATTTCAACTTAAGGAACTGAACTTGATTCAAGGAACAAACAAAACCTAAATACCTACAAGACCGTAAATTCTACATTAAAATCCACAATACGCGTAAAAGACCATACAGGATCAAAATTAAATTCAACAATTGACATACATCCTCCTTAACAGCGTAAACCCCACTGAATACTCAAATCACAACGTCGACTAGCTAGCAACACTGGTCGGACGGAGGACTGCACGGTGACGTCACAGAAAAATGCGAAAAATCGTGGCTTGCCGCGATTTTAGTATTGGACGGTGATGTTGCTGTGTTGTTGTGTGATTTGAATTTTCATGCACTAAACTACCACAAGACACACTTACATACAAGGACAACCCTGTTTTTTACTAACGGTTTTTCAGGGAAGACAGACAAAATTAAAATCAACAAAAACTCATAACTGTACCATTATCGTTCTAGTAAGCTCATTAAAAATTGACTTATAATGTTGTTCTCAATAAGGAGAAGTCTAAATTAACTAAAATTTATTAGTAATAACTTTTATTTACGCGACCCTAACATCGGTCGTGGTCTCGTTAGAAGGCCACACAAAAGAGAACACTTCTCTTAAGCAGTAATGAGAAGAAATCCTTT